TTTCAATGTCAAACTTTGAAGCTTCACGTTTCAATAAATGAACCATTGTGATCAAATTTGTGCAGAAGAGTCTTACGTTTTAAATTTAATAATCATCGTGTTTTGAGATGGCCACATTCTTAAGTCGACATGGTTGTGGAAGTGGACTCGTTGTTTCTTGGATATGTGGACAGTCTGGTTCCACCGATCAGAATCGATCAGAACTTCAGGGGCTTTTATGGTGAAAGTTGAATCTCGGTGAATTAAGGGTTATGGTTCCTGAAATTTAGGAAGCCCAAAAGTCAGAGTTCAGTCGTGGTTCCAAGAAGTGTACCTGACTTCTGGAACCTGAACTCTATGGCCGGTCCAAACAGAACCGCGCTCGGGTAGTTCCTGATGAGAACTACCTGATTCTTGAGTGACTTGACCAGTAGGGGGCGCAATTTGTAAAGTTAAATTAGAGCATCACCAGAAACACAGTTCAATACGTTTTATTGAAAACCTAACAAGTTTCTGACCCGAACATTTGGTCCTGGTTCTGACCCTAAGGGTGAAGAGGGGGCAGAGCTAAAGCAGATGGGAAACAGGAGCCTGATGACATCACTGTCACACCTTGGTGCTTGGCAGGGGGGGGTCTCCTAGCTCCTCCACCTGTTCCTCTAGTTCCTCCCCTTCTGGGGGCAGATCTTCCTCACGCACCCTGAAACCTGTGAAGGTGGGGCAGATGGGGAACCGGCGGAGCCAGCGGGTCTGTCTGACCACGCCCATGCCCACGGGGAAGTCATAGGAGGCGGGGCCTGAAGAGGGGGCGGGGCCTGCTGTGGGGGCGGCGCTTGAGGAACTCCACTGCACAAGTCCTCGCTCCTCCCTCGTTCCTGAACACAGAAGAAGAAGAAAACAGATGAGTGGGACATCACTGCAGCTCCACCTGTCCACAATGTTTAGGTTTTGTTGGTTCCATTCTTGTCCTTCTTTTTGGATTGATTTTCTTAAGAGATAAATCTAATCAAAGGGATTTAATGCTCTTATGTGTTTGACATAAAAACTGAAACTCTGTGAAACATTCAGTAGAAAGTTCTCCATGGACACTGGAGCTGAAAATGCTCCTGATCATCTGTTGCTATTGGCAACAGATGATTGGGTTGTTGTTCACCTGGTATCGTGTTGTCGAGACAAAAAGCCAGAAAACCTCCGACGAACATCTCAGTGGACAGAAGAACTGTCAGAATCTGATCCAGTTCTGCAACACCTGAACCAGAAGAGAGAGAATAATTTCAGTCAGATGAAAACCAGTGCAGCCAACCAGCAGCAAATAACAACAACAAAAAAACTCTAACGAACACTAACATTCTCAGGTAAACACTCTCACCTGTCCTGATGGCTTTCGGATGTGTGTCCAAGTATGCTGGCAGCGTGAGGCCGAAAAACATTGAGAACCCGAGAACAAAGAGATTTCTGGAAGAGTTCAAATCAACCAGCTGCAGGTTTGATAGACCAACAGCTGTGATCATACCTGCGGATGAAAAAAAGAAAAAAGGATTGATGTGACCTCATCAACTCAACTGAGCTGAAAGAATTTGTCTTACCAAACAATGTGCAGAACATCCCTCCGAGGATTGGATCCGGCAGAGAGGCAAACAGAGCTGTGAACTTCCCAACCGATCCCAGGATGAACATGATCCCAGCTCCAAACTGCACCACCCGTCTGCTGCCCACCTGCACACAGGTCGACCTTCAGGCAAACATCGACACACACTGCAAAACGTCATCATGTTCTCTTTCCATGGACTAAACACCTGTCCAGGTCTGCAGAGTTCACTACCAACTGGGGGTGCACCGATTTATCGGCCAGCAGAGATCACTGATAGGCCGACTTTTACACACGGAGCCGATCTTATCCATCGTTCTTATCTAGCTTGGCAAACATCTAAGAATCAACCACTGTCCTCTTTTGCTCTCCAGTGAGAAAAATTTGACTGACAGACCGGCCCTCCAAGCCATGTCTGCACGTTTACAATTTATAACAGTGACCCACTGTTGCCAACTCAACAACTTTCTTGCTATATTGAGCAACATTTCAGACAAAAAAAAAAATTGGTATCGACCAAAATCGGAATTGGTAGGTTAAGCTTTTTAAAAATCAGTAATTGGAAACTGCAATTGGTTTACCCCTGCTACCAATGCTGCTCCGCTTGACTTTAAAACTCCTAAACCTTCTGACATTTTTAGAAGACTCTTTTATAAAGCTGCAGTATCATTTGAAATCAGCCTTTTGAACTTTCCGTCGTCTCTTCCGTCATTTTTGACCAGGACTAGAACATTTATCGTTATCCTAAGCCAGATAACTGTTTTAGCACAATAGAAAACCGTTTCCCCTTTTCATTAGCAACACCCAGATCGATTTCCACTTTAAAAACACATAGCTGCCTATGTTGGAATCACCACATAAAACTAGGATACTCCCTCTGGTGGTAACCAGAAACTACAAGACATGGTGACGTGATGCTAGCTGTCAATTGACACTAAATAAACAAAATGATTTTAAATAGCGCAGAACATTAAACCCTATGATCAATAATCCAGAACTAATAAATGAACCAGTAGGCCCAGGATGATTGCATCCAGCAATAGAACACCCAGTACCAGTTAATCCTGCACCAGTTAATCAGCAACCAGTAAAACGTGGAGTAAACTGAGTAGATATAAATAAAAAGGGTCTCATTCATCCAGGTGAAGATTTTCACCTTGGTGATTCCAAGGACTCCGATGTTGGGACTGGAGGAGGTCGATCCATTTCCTGTCCCTAACAGACCTGCAATGACGCAGCAGATTCCCTCAGTGAAGATCCCCCTGAAACAAGCAACGCGGAAAATCAACAACCCGAACAGGAAAGGGGCGGAGCCAGCCACCGACTTCCAGACTCACCTGTTGATAGCATGAACTGGTGGCGGCGCGGCGCCCGACAGACGGGCGCAGGCGTAGTAATCTCCAATGGACTCTACAATCCCCGCCATGGTGGCACTCAACATCCCCAACACGCCAGCAACAGTCACCACCGGCAACCCCCACTGACCTATAGCACATCACCATCATCATCAGCCCCGTGTCTTCATTACATCAGGGGCGTTTCCTTGGTGAATTCCTTACATGGATAAGGCATCCTGAACCAGGGAGCTGACGCCATGATGTCCCCACGAGCGTCGGTCCGTCCTTTGTGTCCATAGCGGTCCGGGTCGTTAGGGAGCAGGTCAGTTAAAGTCAGAATGTAACAAACGAGCCAGACCAGCATGATGGCGAGGATGATCTGAGACGAGATTCAGAGGATAATATCACTACATCACATCATTGCCGTCTTCACCGCCTCTGTGGGGTCTCATTTACAGGAAACATCTTGAAGATCTGGACTCTAGTGGACGTCAGTCCTTTTCTTCTGCTGTAAACAGGAACAGGAAGTGATGTTGTCCTCAGGTACTGGGCAAACAGCACAATCAGTAACATACATCTGTAGAGAGAAACAGACATGTCCGTCGAGGGTTACGCGTTTCAAACTGAGAAATGCTGACCGGTGGACAGATAAACAAGTTTCACAGACAGGTGGACAGGTGTCTTACAAAGCAGATAGGCCCCAGTGGGCCCCAGCTCTGTCTCCAGCAGTGGTGAACACGGACAGACCAATCAGGGAGACGGTTGGTGTGATGGTGAGTGGACCAATGTACTCCAATAGCAGACCAGGTAATCCAGACAAACCAATCACAACTTCCACCAGACTCGACATGATGATGGCTCCCTGAATCTGGAAACAAGCAAACAACAGGACATCTCTAGCATGCGCTCCTATGGAAAGCAGAAACATCACCGAATCTTTTAGACCCCGAAGAACAAATTTAATCTGACCCAGACGGGGAGATGCAGTCTGGCCAGGGGTCAGGAGGGCACTGAGGGGGTTAAGAGGTGACATACTACTCCACCAGGACTCTGTGCCATAAAATGGATCAGAACTACCTTACCATAAAGTTTTAAGCTAAACTGAAGTCTGACAAAATTGAATAATGTCTTCTAATGTCAATCCTGCAGCAGATCCTGACGACTTCTAACTCTGATCAACAGAAGAGAACCAGGCTCCAGTAGAGAGGCAGAGGTCCAGTTCTGGTCCAGCCCAGAGTTTGTCATGACCAAGTCTCCTTTAAGGACTTGTTGAAGTTGTCTGAAGAGACCAGAGTTTCGATGGGTTTTGTTTTGCTTCATAAAGTTCCTGATGCAGAGAGTCAAAAGTGAACTTGGCCTCAGTGTGGACCCTTAAAACGTGACTTTTATTGGTCCTGACCCACATCTCGATGCCTGACCACCCAGGTCAACATACCTCTCTGATCCGAGGGTGCCAGACATGGGAGGTGTTGAGGGGAAGACTCCAGTTCCCATAAATCACATCTGGAAATAAAACCCAGTAATGTCAGGGTCACCGTGTCCACTGACGGAAACGAAACATCAGAGCTCAGAAATGAAGCATCACCTTCACTGGGACACGCCCAGCGGTCCAGGCTGAGGATGGCCTGAGCAGGAATCAGGAAGGCAAAAGCACTGGCCTGAAACAAAGGAAGCCTGGAAGCACAGACTCACTTCAGTCTTAAGCTGCTCATATTCTCCTGAAGCTTCAGCAAATACCAACCTGACTCCAACGGTGGTCTGGATCAGTGTGGTGATTCCAACAGTGGTGAAAATGGTTCCGATCAGCTGACTCACAGTGTTCTGGTCTCGTCCGACACACATAGCTTCAGCCAGAAGGAACGGGACTGCCACAGTGCCGCTGAAACATGTCAGGTAATGCTGTGAACCAATGAGAAAAGAGTCACCCTTCAGTCTCAGCAGAAAGCTCAACGACCCAAATGGTGGCTCAGACCCGCCACCCAACCACAGGGTCTCCTGGGCAACACCACCAAATAAAACTGATTGGACATCAACTCAGGGGGAGGAAAACCTAAAACTCTTCAATGATGCACAACTTCACTGGTCATTTGGTTATTGCTGCTGAAAATAACTAGTAGTTATTCTAGGGAAAGCCGAGTCCAGCAGGATTCTGTCAGAACCTCCAGATTTACTGGAGAGGATTTAAATGGACTGAACATTTTTAGGCTGTTTGAAGAACATCTTTGCTTTGTGACAGATTCATCAAGAAAAAAAACGAAGTGAACCAAATCATCCATCATCATTCTGGCAGAACCATTCTGGAAGGAACTTAGTCCGATTCTCACCTGTAGTCCCAGCAGGATGCACAGGTACCATGGTGGGACGTCTTCAATGGTGTAAATCATGTCTAGTCCCGCCCTCTCTGCTCTGATTGGCTGGTTTATGGAAGAGTCGGGCTTGCTTGGCCTGCGGCCCCGTCCATCTTCCAGGTGATCCCGGCTCTGCTTGGACAGAGGAGCAGCAGTGTGACCCGGTTTTCAGGTTCAACAGATGGAGTTCAGGAACATTTAGTGAAAATAAGACGCTGACAGCAGAAAGAAACACTTCAGTTCTGAGAAAACAGATTTTTCTACATCAGTGGTGTTGAATCCACTCCTCAAGGTCCAGAGTTCTGTTCCAGGTCCAAAACACCGAGGCCAGATAATTAGGACAGTAGCAGCACTTAGCTTCTTTACTTTTAAACTCTTTAAAAGCAAATAGTTTTTTCCTGTCTGAGAAAATCGGGGAAGCTGAATGAACATAACTTTGCCTTTAACTTCACCCTGCAGGGTAAACATGTCAGTATGAACCCACTAGCTGGTTCTCCTCACCAGTACAAACCCAGCCTGAGAGGCAGTAGCCAATCAGCAGCCGGTCTCAGCTGAGACCGACAGCAGGTGATGGTGCTGCGACAAACAATCTACCTGTGTCCAACAGGAAACTGAAGAAAATAATTTTCTGTTCCTAACACGACTGATACAATTTATGTTTTTATTTGCCAATCAGAGATTGAACAATGTCTAGTCGCTGTTGATGTTCTGACCAGAGTTCTTCCGGCGTCCGCCTTGCTGCAAGAGCAGAAAATGGAAACAGACAGGGGGAGCTTCCCATTGGCGGCTTTCTGTGGCCGGCCAGAAAAGGCCAAAAATAAAAATATGGTCTGTGTGATAACAGAAACAAAAAGAAATGTCCAGAAACGACGAGAAGCAGCAAGAAACTGCCTGTGAAAGAACAGAAATGTCTGGATAAAACCGATAGCAAAGCAGGCATGTGCTGGTTCAAACTTCTGCAAAAGAGAAAAATTACTGAATTACTGATGTGTTTTTCTGTGGTGAACCATGGACTTTAGGTGGTTTGGAGATAACCTTTGACCCTTAGAGAAGCAACAGTTGCTGCTGAGTTTTTCCACCGTGGCATTGTGCCAACTACTCCTGATGCTGCAGAGCAGGAATCCGATGAGGACCTGCTGGTTAGCAGTTAGCCCTCAGCAGCTAGCCACCCACTCCTTGTTCTGACTCAACCTCTTCACAAGAAGCAGGAACGAGACGCTTGTCTGTTGTGAGTCACCGAACAGAAGTGATCGGTTCTCCTTGTGATTCCTGGTGTTTCCAAGTGATTCTGGCAGACTGAGGAACACAGTAACTGTGTAAATCATTTGCATGGCCTGTAAACTGCTGATTGTGTCATTGTGACCCAATTCAGAACACACAAACTTTGCTACCGCTTCCAGGAAGGCACACATGTTTCTGAGTAGGTATACAACACCTGCTGCACATGTTGTGTACCTGTGTGTCAGGTGCATTGACACCTGAAGCCGGATGGTTTGGAGGTTTCATTCATCACTGATTTAATAAGATTTCTTCACAGACACTGATTCTGGACAAGAGTGGTCATCTGATCATCTGGAAAGGCTGAAACAAAGTTTAACTCTGAGCCCTGAAAGCCTCACCTCAAGCTCTGAGAACTCACGCAACCTGGACCAGAATCAAAGCCGGGACCAGGACCAGAACCAGAACCAGAATTAGAACCATGAATGCCTTACCTTGGTGTCGTCCTCCATCTGAGCTGCAGTCGTCCGTCTGAAGGAACACCGAGCTTCAGGACAAAGTCCAGCAGATTATTAACAGATTATTAACCATCAGCACAGAAACCTTTACCCATCTCACACCTGAGCTCACCTGAGGGGCCAATCATTGGCCCCGAGGGCAGGAAGCTGAGAGCAGCACACCTTCATCACCAGCCGGTCTTGCTGTGAGGCCTGGAAAGAAGCTGTGCCTGAAACGGCTTCCTGTTGACCTCTGACCTTAGGGTTCTGTCATGGCCAGGTAGTCGGACCAGGAAACTCGTCAGGCAGAGGCGTCTTCCTCCTGGATCAGCATGACGAGGAAGAGCTGGATTCAGCTGGAGCTGGAATAGTGTGGAAACCGGTACAAGTAGCTTTCAGGTGGTTCTATACTGGTTCCGCTTCTGAGACGCCACAGCGGTGTGACATCACGCTGAAGGACAGGAAACCATCGCGCTGATGTCTCTCAGACAGCCTCTTCATACTCATCCTGGTGACGTTAATTAAGTTGATTTCTTTCTGTATCTAGGGTGAGTCTGAAACCTCGTGGACAGCAGGTAGGAAACATCATCAGGACGTGACCTCTGACCCCGGATCAATTACCCACCGACACAGGAAAATGTTTCACACATGCATTTTTATTGCATTTCCATCTGTAAACAATATTAAAACAATTTCCTGTCTGCATCATTTTTAACTCAAACAAAAAGAAGAAAAAGAAGAAAAAAAAATCAAACCTTCAAAAAGTCATCACGCAACCAGTTAAAAAACCAGTTCAAACCAGTTCCCACTGGTTCAATCACAGGATGCTTATTTAAACTAGTTTAGAACATTTTCGACGGTGTGGAAACCAGTTGAGACCAGGTCAGGCCAGTATTAACCAGTTCAACATACTTCAGTCCAGTTCAAAATAGTTTATACAAGGTTTAACAAGGTCAGGTTAACCAGTTCTGACCATGTCAGGCACATTTGATCTACTTCTCACCAGTTCTGCAGATTGTTTACTGGTTCAGCAAAACTCTGTGGAACCAGTTCCAACTGATTTAACGTATTTCAGACCATTAATACCCAGTTCAGACCAGTTTAAACCAATTTAAACATGTTTTAACCCAATCAGATCAGATTAAACTACATAGCAGTTTTAATCAGATAATATTGAAATAAATTCAGACATTGAAACCATTTCAGACCAAACCAGTTTAAATATCCACTCTGACCGATTACATTTATTAGTTCCCCCTGAAATACTTTGACTGGACCAGGAACTGGGCAGATCTGACAAGTCACTGGGAGAATCAGCTGCTAGAGAACCTGTTCACCAGCGCTTTGCCTCCAGAGAAGGAGCTGGAGGACAGAAACCTGACCGGACTGGATCAGAACGGACCGGATTCAACCATACCAGAGAAAAGGAACGGAATAGGCACAAGCAAACTGGACCAAGGGAACCATCGCGAGACTGAAATGAGATGAAAACAACAAGTAGAACCGGATTGCAAGGATGAGGACATGAATGAGGAAGAAACTCTCTGGTCACGTGACCTCAAGCGTCCAATCAGAACCAGACACTGAGAGGAACAGGATCAGGCAGTTTCCCTGTTCAGCAGAGCTTTCCGTATCATTCCGGGGAATGAGGGAAGGTCCTGCCAAACTGATTCCCAGACTGGTTCCCAGTACATCACAGATGTTGTTGACTTCAACCCAACCCCAGCATCCGACGTCTTCTTCTCTGCTGATGTTCTGCAGCTCATTTCTGAGTAGGAAGTCCCTCAGCCACAGCAGGAAGCCCCTCAGCCGCAGCAGGAAGTCCCTCAGCCGCAACAGGAAGTCCCACAGCCGCAACAGGAAATCCCTCAGCCGCTGCAGGAAGTACCTCAGCTGCAGCAGGAAGTCCCTTAGCCACAGCAGGAAGTCCAACAGCCGCAACAAGAAGGAAACGTCTGGCTGTTTCCGACCGCTGTTGTCCATGCCGGGTCCATGTTTGGCCCCAGCGCCTCCAGAGTGTCACTAAACCTCTGGTATTTCACGCAGAGAGATTTCCAGGTCACGTTAACCCGATCAATAAAGATGAGAATCACATCTGGTCCGACATTTTGATCACTTGTATCCGATTCAAAACCAAACAAAAACTTGTCACTTTTTCACGTTTGCCTGAAAATGGATCAGAATGGATCGTTTTTTTTCTGACCTGTGCAGCAGAGCCGCCGCTCGGCCGGCCCACCGCTTCACCTGGAGCCACTCCCAAGGTGAGGGGTCGGGGGCGGAGCCTCACCTGCTGGTTCCAACTGAAGATGGCGTCTGCAGGTGAGGAAACTCTCCGTCAGGGGCCGAGCCGAGTTGATCAACTGATCAAGTTCTGATTGAAGGACGCAAGAACCTATAACCTGTACCTAGTATCCATGAAAACACAGCAGTAAGATCAATACATTGATTTTTCTTCATAAATATAAACTCTGCCTTAAATATTGATTATTGATGTCCATGTGTGTTCAGACCCCGCCCCCTGCGTGAAGCCGGCCTCCAGCGTCAGCAGCTCTTCAGCGGCGCGCTGCAGAGACACAGAAAGGCTGTTTACACTTTATCCACATCATCAATTCATTGATTATTGGCTTGGTCTGAACTAGGTGCTTCCTAAAGGCAAAGCTGCTCTCCATCTTGTGCTCAGGTCACACAATAAACTCCCCCCACTGACACAGGTGTGAGCTTCGCTGCTGTTTCAGATCATCAACTCATCTCAGACAAAAACAACCTGACTAAAAGCTGAAAGTTTTTACATCATAATTTCATCCTTGAAGGAAAAACTCGGACCTGAGTTTCGGTTAACCAGTCTGACCTCCGCAAACCCAGAGTCACAGAATCTGCCTGACAACAGAAAGTAGGCCACAAGATTTCCAGAAGATCCGCAAAACCTGCAAAGCACATGAAAGCTAACCGCTAACAGCTAACCTCAAACAGATAAACTGCATCGCTGAGGAACAAAATTGATCATCTGTTACTGGAATTGACAAAATATGGAAAACCCTCCAGTGTCTGAAGTAAAGCCCCACTGGTTTACTTGACTTACTCTTGCAAAAATGACTTACTCTTGCAAAAGAGTAAGTCAGAGTTAAGTGGGGTCAGAGTTCACCCAGTGACGGCAGAAACTCGTCCCCATTGGAAACACTTGATAGGACCAGTTACTGCGTTCAGGTTGTGAATACTTTTCCACACAGGAAACCTGCTCATTCCTCAGGTTGATGCCAAAACGTGTTGATGATCTGAAACCCTTCCGGAAGGGGCGTGAATACTTTCTACAGACTGATTCAGCCAGTGCCTGCTGGGACTCTCCCGCTCTGAAGCCGCTCCGCAGACCAGTTTACCAAACATCTGTTTGCAGGTGAGAAAGTCTGAGGCGTGCCCATGAGCAAGGCACCGGCAGTCAAACAGAGGGGAACGTAACGGCGCCCACGGAAGTAATGGCGCCCGCGGAAATGATGACGCCCACGATGGTTAAAGAGCAGTTGGACAGTTTATTAACAGATTCAAACAGAAAGACATGTACACTGGTCAGAGTCTCTGATCTGCAAACAGACGGTAAAAAGAGTCCGACAGTCACAGCAGAGAGAAGATCCACCTTCATCATCCTCTTCTGGCTAACAGTCAGTGTGTCCTACCTGTCCCACTTGTCCCGGGTCCATGAACTCAGGCTCAGGGCTCCAAACACAGAAGGAGTGAGACATCCAAACGTCTCTGAACATAAACCAGGAGGATCCAAGACCTACATCGGACAATCTGATTGGCTAAAACTACTTCCTGTTTACTGGAACTCACCTTACTGGGAACCAGTTGGGAGCCAGATTATAGCCAGTTTACCAATGAACTGAACTGACTATTTGAGCCAATCAAACGCAGCTGCGATGATGTAAGCACACTAGGGACCGGAGTGTGCGACTCCCGACCATGTTCTGGACCCCAGCCTCAGTTTGGACCACACTCAATTTCACAGTTAAATGTCTAAACAGAACTTCAAAATAAAGTACAAATATTTTCAGTCAAACTCAACAGGAAGTGATGTCAGTGTGTCAGCATTTCAAGCCCCAATAAGACCTGAAGGGGGTGAAAGAGAGTCATCGAAAGATACAAAAATAAAACTGTCAGCCATTTTGATCGATGACCTCACCATTACGGAGCCTGATGAGAGGTTAGTGTTTACAACAAGTCAGGTAGGAGTGATGTCATCATGATGTCAGCCTGGTGAGCCAATCATCGCTCTGAATCTCCAGATAAATAATGACATCAGCAGGCTGAAATGCTGCCACCTGATCAGGTGGAAGTTTAAGCACCCCCCCTGCCCTCTGAGGCTCCTCCCCTCCTCTCCACACAGGAAACAGTCTTTATTAGTCTGGGTTGGCTCCTCCCAGTGAATGAAAGAGGTGGGGCCAGTGTAATAGGGGCGGGGCCTATGCTACGTCTCGAACTGCGTGAGCAGCGCACGGACCTCGGGCGTCAGCTGCTTGGCGGCGCTAGCGGCCTCAGCAATGGCGCGGCGGTACGGCCCCTTCCTCTTCTTGTCAAAGCGCGACTGGAACGTCTCGAGGAAAGGCGAGAGCTGCGCCAGCGGCAGGAAGGAAGTGGTGGGCGAGCCGAACCAGGAGACCCGCGCCTCCTGCCGCACCGCCAGCCCCGTGTCGCCGCGGCGCGCCACCGTGATGCCCAGCACGCGTGCCGGCCACCAGGGGAAGCCGTAGATCTTGGCCCAGACGATGTCGCCGACGCACACGGTGCGGCCATCTGGTAGCAGACACTTGGATACGGACTTGGAGAAGACGGACGACGAAGACGAAGAGGAGGAGGACGTGGACGACTTCCTGCGGCGCTTCGGGTCGCCGTCCTCCTCGTCCTCGCCCGCCAGCGGGGTGCACAGAGGAACGAAAGAGGAGGGTGGGGCTGGGAGAGGGGCAGAGGAAGAGGAGGGCGGGTCCCCGGGGGGCGGGAGGTCAAAGGTCTCTGTGGAGCTGCACTCTGAGTGGGAGGAGTCTAGGGAGCAGGAGGACGGCAGGGGAGGCTCCGCCTCCTGCCAGCCAGCTCCTTCCTGCGCCTCTCCGTCACTCGTTTCAATGGCGACAGCAGCCGGGGGCGGGGTGGGAGGAGCTGGCGGCGAGGGGGTGGGGCTTGCAGCGGGTCGGGGCGACGCCTCAGAGGCGGAGCTCGGCGCCGGGTCATCGGTACGATACCTTTGAGGTTTGAGGCGCATTCTGGGTGGCAGCGGTGCAGGGACGGTGGCACCGCCCGGGTTCTGCAAGCGTCGGGTGAAGTGGACCTTCTGGCCGTGGTTCTGCAGCGCCGCGGCCCGGGTCACAGCCTTGCCACAGTCCTGGTTCTGCTCTTTGGGCCGGCGGTGCGGAGTCAACTTCTGGAGGACCTTGCGGGCGTCGGGCCGTTCTGGTGCCGGGGTCAAAACCTTCTTAGAGTTCAGTTGCATGCGCATCCGGCCGGATGCTGCCGTCGAGGAAGAGGACGAGTCCACACCTCTCAGGACGCGACGTGAGGACTGCGACCCCTGTATCCCTGACGACCGCTTGTCGGCACTGCGCCCCGACTGGTCGTCCATCTTCAGACGCTTCAACTCTGAGGACATGGGAGCATCCGCTGGCCGGCGCCGTCGCGTCGCCTCCTCCCCCCGTCGCGCCTCCCGATGGCCGCCTGATGTCACCACACCTTTGCACTTGTCACAGAGCACCTGGCGGGGACGGAGCTTGATGGCGTTCATGATGGAGGTGGGCTCCTCGCTGCGGTAGCGCCGCTTCGGCCTCTTGATTTTGCGAGGCGGCGGCTGAGGTAAGGCCTGCTGGTAGGTGTCCCTGATGAACAGGGGCGGTGGGTACGGCGCCCCCTCCTGGAACAGCGGCGGTGGCTTGGGGCCGCATGGCTGGGGGGCGGCTGCCTCGTCCAGCTCGGTACGCGGCCCGTCGCTAGCGGCGGCTGTCTGCTGAGTCACCGCGGGACGGCAGCGGTCGTCTCGTCTGGGAAACACGGTGACAGGAATCCCGAAAGGTCCGAACCTACAGAGACAGGGCGGTACTGTTAGAACCAGAACAACGGCTGGTATCAGAACATCTGATCAATAGAATCGACCGGATCAGAACCAGGTCAGAGCCCCCTCTCAACTGACACAGATAGCAACACCACGCTTTGGAGAGTCTGAATGGTTCTGGCTCAGCTCACTTCCAATCCGGTTGTTTTTGTGCCAGAACTTCTGAACCAAACCTGCTGAGTCATCAGCTGGTCTGAAGGGTCAACCCTAACCCAACGACAATTCCTGCAGCGCTGGATCAGAAGAACCCAACTAGAACCACCCAGGTCGGGGGAAATTGGGTGAAATCATGTTGACATTTGTTTTTCAATACTTCATTTTTATCTAGTGGCTCTTTAATTGTATTGTCTGTATGAATGGGCCAAATAATTTCTTTCATGATCAATGAACTACCTACCAAACTTTTCTGACCCACACATACATGGCCGACCTCAACCAGTCTCTCCTCAACCAAGCTGGTTGAGCTGGGAGACCAACCTCTCCCAGTCCAGTCCTCAAGGGCTACATAATACAACTTTTAGATGCATCTCTGCTCAAACACACCTGGATCAAATGACCTGATTGTTCCCAGCCTATCGCACAGCTGAATGAACGCTGCTGAGGAAATTCAGACATTTTGGAGCAGAGATCCATCTAGAAGTTGCAGGATGGTAGCCCTTGAGGTCTGGACTGGGAGACCCCTGCTGTAGAGGTTCTGCCTCTGGCGCACAAAAACATCCATCGTGCCCCAAAACTCAGCCGGACACCATGTTGATTTGATGGTGAAGACAATTTGAAAGTTCTGAGGACAATTGACGAAGGTTCTGGAACTTTGAACCCATGTAGAAACCAGAACCAAAACAATGCTGGCGATCTGACTCTTCAGAACCAGCTCCGTCAGAGGAGGCGAGAACTGCTGGAAAAACACCAGAGAAGAAGCAGGTCTTCCACAGAAGAATGGATGGATCCAGTCAGAAACCATCAGAACTTATCAGGGCCAACCACTAACCGGGTCGGTTCTGACCACTGACCTTAAACCCACATGGCATCAGAAGTTCTGTTCTGACCCATTTGGGTTTTGGTCACAACAGTACGAAACATGCAGTGGGTGTTGTGGGTGTGATCGGTACCTTTTGGACACGTCCATCAGAACCCCAGAGAAGACCTGCTCCCCCAGCCGGAACGACACCACCAGCGCGTCATCGATCACGTGCTCCAGGCTAACTCGGACCTCGGTACCAGGATTCAGGTCCAGCACAGAACTCGGTTCCGACCCAGAGCTATCCTCGACCTTCGGTCTCGCTGAGCTCTTACAGAACCCGTTTGCAGGTTCTGAGTTCTCATTCAAAACTGAATCCTCCGTAGGTCCAGGTACCAACTCCTCCTGCTCCAGAATCGTGTAGCACCGGTCCAGTTCTGTGGTCTCGGTAGGTTCTGCCGGTTCGGCCAGAGATAATCCGGCCTCAGAGACCGGAGCGGGGTCCGGGACCGAGTGCAGAAAAACTGCGGGGGGTTGCGGGTCCAGAGGAATGGTTTGATAGGTACTGGTACTGTCTGAGTTCGGCAGTCCGGGAAAGACTCTCTCAGAACCGCTGCAGTCCACCGGGAGGTTCGAAAGGCCTGTGGTCGCGGTTTGGTCCGGGTGGACGCCGCTCCGGTTCAACACATCCTCTGTGGTCCCGCTCCGGTCCAGCTGATCCTCTATGGTTCTGTCTGTCGCGGGTAAAACCGGTCCCGCCCCGGGGTTCTGCTCCGGACCAACATGGCGGCTCTCCCTGGATTCTCCGTTATCTGGGTTCCCGCCTGGACTGGATTCTGGGTCGTCGCTGGGTTCCGCCGGAATCTCGTGATGTGCGGGGCTGTACGGTCCGGGTTCCGGCGGACTCTCGGACCGTGTTGTGGTCGGAACCGCAGCTCCTGGCTCCGCAGCCACGGCCGCCATTTTGTTCCGTTGATCTACTGAGTGGCGATGAAGGCCCGCCCTCCTGCTCCACGGCCTCTTGGCTAGAGCTGCTCTGATTGGTCCGATGTCCTGTCAGTTAATGACAGCGGGGCAGAGCGACGTCTGTGATTGGCTGATTCAGCAAGACTCTGTGACTTCGCATCGTTTGTCAGCCGGCGAAACAGGTGGCGCATCCTGTGGTCGGAGCTTCTCTCTACGAAACCCGCCGGCTCTCCGGCGGGAATATCCGTTAGGATCCAGAAGCAGGGTCACGTGACTGATGTGAGCCACAATCTCTTAAATAAATGATTAAAGAACTCCAGGCTAATCATAAATCTGTATCTCATTTGTATATTAAAATATTCCACTTTATTAGTTGTTATTGATGCAATCAGGCTGGATACATCTGAGCAGAGATGTTGTGGCTCCTCCCTCACTGCTGCCACCATCCACATATTCTCTGTTCTCCAGCCAGAGATGTTCTCCCATCCTCATCGTTTATCTGCTTCACTGTTTCTCAATAATGGAGGAGTCACTGATGTATCACCTCGCCCTCATAGAAAGTCAGTGCTTCCTCTGACAGCATCTGACTTCTCAAAGCTTTGGTTGTAGAAGATGTTTGCTCGCACTAATCCAGGTTCTGGAAAGAGGTTTTATTCCTGTTATGTGGAAGTTATTTTTCTGCTGCCACTTGATGAAGTCAGTAAATGTCTGGTTTTCTCACCATCGTAACCTGAACTTGATATAACGTGACGTTACCAGGGTTAACTTCAATCTGTTTGATGCGTTTTGGTACTCCTGTACATTGGACGGGTTAGTTTGTCTTTCGGGGTGAATTGCTATTGGAAACTGGCTCTAGGTAGATGGAGAATTTGTTTGAGAAAACAAGCTCCTCCCACACCACTCAATGTCACTTCCAGCTGGGCCGTCAACCAGCAAACTGTAGGGGAATGAACCCTGAATGGATCAAAACACAGATGATGACTGAACAGAACCTGAACCGGGTCACTGCAGCTCAGTTTAAAACAAAGCTTAGGGTCTGAAGTCTTTATTGTAATCTTAGACAGTAAGTGGACAGTTCTCTTCACATGGACCAGAACCTGATGAAAAAACAGATTTATTAATTCTGCTGATGCCTTTCAGTGTCACAACGTAGCCCTTTGAGATCTCAAGATGTAATGGGTATTTTAAAAAATATATTATTATTATTATTATTATAGTACAAAAAAGAACACGACAAAACAACTGAAAAGCAGAACAGCGAAGGGGAATGGGCCAGAGCTAGAATAATCCCGAGGAATAAAAGTAGAGCACAGAAAAATCTGAAGTCAATTCAAAAACATGGAGACAAACGGGAGACAAGGACTAACATGGTGCTGCAGGTCACACACCCTCCAGCAGGGGGAGCAGTTTGGTCTCCCTTCTAGTAGTTTAATGGGAGACAAAAGAAACACAGCAGGTGATCATCCAGTGTTTTGCTCTGTCTGAGGACAATGTTTTCATGGTGATGCTGAGGCTGGAGAGCAACTGTCATTGAAGCTATGAAGGTGTCTGCACCTGATGCATGGTGATCTGTGTGGGTAATAGGCCACGCCCCTTTGGATCCATGATCCCTGCTGAATGTTCTTAAAGCACACATGACCTGTGAACCATGTGAAACAGAAACAGATCAGACTCAGTTCATCAATATGTTTATTGACGGCAGCCAATAAGTGCTTCGGACAGTAATCAGTGATCAATAATCAGTGTCTTCAGTCAATCTATTAATATATCGACTCTAGACATTAAACTCCATTCATCATCTGGTCAGCTCATGTTCTTCTCATCTCTAAACAATCACCTGCTTATTGATTATAGATAAAAATTTTACTGTTAAAATTGTCCACGTGTCTAATTGGTCTGCTGTGATTGGTCCAGACCATGTGATGTGGCATCCTGTGATTGATTAGAGAGCATTGAGGCCACTCCCCTCTTTCTCATTCAGTTCTTTTAAGGCCACGCCTTCCTTTGTGACCACGCCCCAGTCATCATCAGCCACGCCCTCTCTCACGTGGGAGCCACGGCTTCCTCCAGACCTTGATACACAGAATAATTAATGATTCCAATCAGGTTATTTATTAGAGGACAGAACTGATCAGTGAGCTCCAGGGTCATGGAGGAGAAGCGCTCTGGAAGCTCTTCATCAAAACCTCCCAGAACCCAGAAGAAAGAACCACAGAACCATGATCGCAGGGGTCAAGATACCGGGTCTAACCTCAGGATCCCACAGTGGGATCTATACCTCAGCAGGTTTTGAGTTGTTCTGTTTGCGTTGTTTCATCAGGACCAGCTGAGGTGCAGCTCTCTGTTTTGGGATTCGGGTCAGAATCCGAAGAGTTCTGGAGCCGCAGCAGACAGCTCACCTGTTTTTCTCCACATCCTCTATGGTGTCGGGCAGCGGCTTGTTGAGCGTCTCCGGCAGGAAGCAGGCGAAACCGCTGGCCACCACTGCAGCGCCCCCATAGACCATACTGGGTAGTGCAGGAAACACCTGGCAAGGTGAAGAACAGCTCTCGGTTGCTACGGTGATGATGTGATGCGTTTAAGCAGGGAGGTCAAAAAATTTGACATTAACCTCGCTCTAATTGAATCGTTATGATCAATAATTCATCAATACCAGATGTTAAGTTTCCTAACAGCTGGAAACTGTTTGTAACTGGTCAAAACCGAACCATGTTTACATCTCAACTGGACCTGAAGCTAAATAAATACTTCCATGTCCAAGCGGACCAGCGACTGTTCAGCCATAAAATGTACCAGAAAGTTCTGATTTTGGTTCCCGTCGGGCTCACCTCGTCCAGGATCAGAACTGCAGGCGCCGCCATGCTGCCAATCCTCGCCATCGTGGAGACGAAGCCCATCCCTGTCTGCCTGGAAGTACAGCACGACATGTACTATTGACCCGGTGAGAGGTTCTGATGAGGACTCACCTGATGACAGTGGGGTAGAGCTCTCCGGTGTACAGATAGACAGTGGTGAAGGAGGCCGATGTGAAGGCTTTACCCAGACAGGCTAGGGTGGTTCTGATGCTCTGCATGTCTGCAGAATAGAGACCAGACCCAGATCAGGACAACAGACCGGGTTAAAACCAGAACCACGCATCACAAAATAATCAGCGATTTAGGGTCATATTAGAACCAGAACCTCTGTACCTGTGGGGACAAAGATGTTGGCAAAGATGATGACAGCCGACAGGAAGAGGCACGACACCTGGGTGGCCCGCCTGCCCAGGTAACTGAGCATGCCCAGAGCCAAGAACTTTGCAGGAATATCTACGGCTCCAAAGATGATCTGCATCAGGTAAATACTTACCTGGAACAGCCCACAGCCAATCAGAACCCAGTTCACTCCAGAAACAAGGAAGACAGGTGAGCAGAAATCAGAGAACTCACCCCAAACTTCTGTAGGTCCATCGCCAAACCATAGTAGGCAAAACTGGTGGAGAACCTGCAGACAGGTACACAGGTAAACACCCAGACAGGTTGAGATTGTAATAGAAAATTTAGTTTTTAGCTTTATTTCATCTTTGATGGAACTGATGATACTATTTTCACATTTATTTACTGATTATATCTGCTGTGTTTTTATATTTTTGCGAGATGCGTTTTTCCATTAAATAAGTTTCCAAATAAGGTTTAGATGTTTCCACATCTGTGATAGTTTAAGAGACATGAAGACATCTTGGGCAAAATCTTTAACCTGGCAATTACCCTTGTTTGACCCTGCACTCATGAATGACTGACAAAGAAAAATTAGCGGTTTCTCCTGAAATCCTTATCGGTTCTCCAAAAGATGGGGACGATGAGGTGGGGATAACCATTGTCTCTGTGGTCCATGTGGCAACAGAGCAGACTTTGGATGGGTATTTTCCTTGCTGTGACTATATAACAATGTTCAGTGAGATGGGTCTTTGAACGCTTTTCCTTCGAATGAAGAAACTTAAAGACAACAAACTGGTTAAAGCAGGTGAATCTCTCACCAGACGGCTGACAGACAAATGGAGATGCGTCTTATCCTTCTGGTCTTCAGCAGATCGAAGGCTGTAAACGTTGAACGGCTCGACTCAATCTCTTTACTCATGTGGGAGTGAAGTACCTGTGGAAACATGGTGCCAAAGTCAGGTTTTCATTGGTCAGATACACTTGTACATGCAGTCAGAGGTTACCTCTAAGGTCAGTTTGTTGATGGCCTCTGGTCTCCTATTGATCCGAGCGACTCTGTGGAGACCCTTTAAGGCTTCCTCAGACCGACGGTTCAGCACCAGCCAACGAGCTGACTCTGCATACCACCTGACCAATCACAGCACAGGCATTCAATCACCTGACCAATCACAGGACAGACCCTTGAATAATCATGGGAAGGTACAGTGGACTCCCTTTTCCCTTCCTTCCCCCTCCTTCCTACACCCATGTTTGTTTTTTTTTCTGGATGGAACGAAACTCCAAATTATTTTTGCACATTTCTGAATAGATCAAATCTAAAACACTCTAACTTCAGCTATAGAAGCTGAGCTCTCTGTGCTATGGGACACACTATTGGCTGGTGTTTCCAGATCAGCCATTCCAGGGGTGGCTCTCATTTTCCTTGGCATTGATTTCCCCGTAGAGCGGCCATAAGGCAGAGTGTTGCTGTTAGCATCTATGTTAGCGTGGGGATGAGCACTCCAGAGCGGTCTGGGTCTCGGCCTGTTTTTCTCCGTTCTGGTGTTGGAAGAATCTGTCTCAACTCCATCCTGGTTGCGAAGGTACATTTGGTGTATGGACTATTAAGAGAAGTAGCTAGGAGCGTTTTTACTCGTGGTCTTGAGTATCTACAGGATTTATCACTTGGTGGGCGCCTGTGATCCCTAACCCCCATGAATCCCAGGGCTTCACTGTGCCCGGGCTTCACTGACCAGCTGCAGGCGAAGAACAGGAACTGAGGCGCGCAGGCAGCCAGCTGGAGCTTCCTCCAGTCTCTCAGCCAATAGGCAAGGCCTGCCAAGA